CACATAACCTCGGTGAGTGGATCCTTGAAGCAAAAAAAAAATGAAACGTTTCGTGATAAGAATTTCAACTTCCAATTAAATTCCGCCACGTGGCAAAAAGTGCTCGCACAAAAATTTATCCAGTTTTTCAGCACAGAGATCAGAGATCAGAGATTACAGCTGTAATTCAGATATTCAAATTATACTCACAATAATCGGTTTTACTTTAAACTTTGGTATGGAGGTAGAAAGTATCAACACACATAAGCAAGTCATGGTTTTATCACTTTATCACCTAAACTTGTTACATTATTCATCTCCAACTACAATATCTTCCCCATTACGATTAGCGAAATTTAAGAAAACTAATTGGAGCTTTATATTATTGTTATTATGCCTCAAACCGATTTCAAGCAGTAGCAACACCGGTATGCTTCGCTATCATCGCCTGAAGATCTTCTTTCCTTGCACCAACGAGCTTATCCACAACTTCGCCGGCTTTCATGAACACAAAGGTCGGCATTGCCTCCACACCAAACTCTTTAGCAACACTCTGTTAAACAGCACAAGTACATAGAATATATCAGTCTATCTACTTGCCACTAAGGCATATGATTCCAGAGCTCCTTTAAGAGTGGGGGAGATTTGCAAGAAGAAAGTTTCTTTGTTGTGTTCACCTGAAGTTCATCAACATCCACCTTGAAGAAGATGGCACTTGACATGAACTTCTTGGCCAAATCCGTGAAAATTGGCGCAATCATACGGCATGGTGGACACCATGACGCAGTAAAATCTATCACAATCTGAAATTTACAAATACCATCAGAAAGCCTAAACAACTCAAGCAATCCAAGTTAAGTTTTAACATAAGGATGACTCTGATCTGCAATATCCGAAACGAAGAACACAACATAAGACACAAAGATGAATCCATGAAAATATTCTGATCGTGGTCCTTCCAGCAAAAGGATACAATCATACAGTTACACATCGAGATCTCCTTCAAACAATTCCGTTTTATTCCATTCTACGGCAACCGAAATCAAAAACCTCGTAAAAACACTAATAATCGAGAGGAACATAACCTGAAACCCTAATGTTTTCTTCAACACCACGAACAAGAAACCCTAATCAACTCAATCGCACACATGAAAAAACGAAAACCCTAATTTCCAAAACAAACAAAGATTGCATAACAACAGAGACAATCAAAGACGGTGCATCTTCTCGACTCACCAGCTTGTTGGATTCTTTAGCTTTGTCGAGTTGAAAAGTCCAAACATCGTCCGTGTGACAACCGATCACTTGTCCCTCTTCTGCCGCCATTTCGTCGAATCTGCGAAGAAAAAAACAAAACTCCTATCACTTTTCTTCTTTCTTCCGCATCTCTCTGTATATAGAGAGGAAGAGATATTGACAGATTTACCCCTGCATATTTACTGTTACTACGAAATGGCATCCAGCTGGATCGTCGGCTCGGTAACGGCCCATTTATATAAATTAAAAAAAAATCTTGGCGAATCTGTAACCACACGAGCAAGGATATTATCCGCCTTATACGCGGGATAATGGGATATGCGAATAAAATTAATATAGTTTTAGTTTAAAAAAATTGTCTATAATTATTAAAAAAATTATGATACAAAATCTAAAACTTGTTTATATATATGAATTTCCCAATTATTTTGTATACAAATATATTCTACCCGTAAAATAATTGAAAATAATAATTTTTTTCGTTTTTAGTCAATATATATCACTTATTAATTAAATATATTTATTTAATATCATAATCTTCAAAAATATGTTTCTGACTCAAATATAAAAAACAAAATATTACAAATATGAATTCAATTTTATAGGTTTAAAATAATTATGAGGGTAAATGAATATTGCAAACATTAATTGAACATGTCAATATATTTTTTGTCTCTAATTATTTGGTTACCTTATTAGATTTTATATTTTGTTTCCGTAAAATTTGATTTTAATCTAAGCAACTCAATTTTTAATTTCATATTTCTAAGCATAGTTTTATGTTGAGTTTTGGCAACTTTTTTGTTAACAAAACCATATTTGGTGAATATTTAAAATATATAAAATTTGGTATCATTTCAAATACATTTTTTTTTTTATGAAAAAACTATGGTTAAGATTAAAAAATTAAAAACTTGAATTTTTCAAGACAAATGGAAAAAACAGAGATTAGATGATTAAATTTGAAACATATAAGAAAAACAATATTAAATACGTAAGAAATTATATTTCTGATCGAAAAATGAAAAAATTCAATAATATACGATAAAGTTCAAATTTTTATAGAGTTTTCAATTTGTAATGTTTATAAAATAATGTTCTAGTTTGAAGGTAAACGTATATTTTCATAATTTTTAATGAGTTAAAAAATTAACTATTTATTAAAGTTTGTAATGTGTTTGGCAATTGAATTAAAAGTAACCAAAATAGATATAGCAAGTGAAATAGTGTTTGGCAAATAGAATATAAAATTATAAATAAATAAAAAATTTAAATAAAAAAATGAGAAAAATTGTGGGAGTCTAAAATTCTTCTCCTTTAACATAAAGAAGATGAAATAAAAATATCGGATAAGATTTTTATTTAATTTAAAATAAATTATTAATCTCTTCATTTCTCAGCTTATCACTCAACTTACCTTCTTCCTCTCCTTCCTTCACCTTCAGTCTAATGGCGCTTCCAAGCACAGTCTCATCTCCTTCCTTCAAATCCACACCTCCGTATCTCTCCGCCTTCAAACCTAAACCTCTAAATCTCCCGATTACTTACCGGAGCAGTAACCGTAAACTCATCTCTTTCCGATGCTCATCGTCTTCGTTCTCCGAGAAGCACCAAAACGTGAATCCGCCGCCAAAATCTGATGACCTAGTCGAGCTCCCTCTATTCCCACTACCTCTCGTCCTCTTCCCCGGGGCAACAATCCCACTCCAGATCTTCGAGTATCGTTACCGAGTGATGATGCAGACGCTTCTCCAATCCGATCTCAGATTCGGCGTCGTTTACTCCGACGCAGTATCAGGTTCCGCCGCCGGTGTCGGATGCGTCGGAGAGATCGTGAAACACGAGCGGCTCGTCGACGATCGGTTCTTCTTAATCTGTAAAGGTCAGGAGCGATTCCGCGTCACGGATCTCGTCCGTACCAAACCTTACCTCGTCGCGAAGGTTACGTGGCTAGAGGATCGACCTTCAGGGGAAGAGAATCTTGACGAATTGGCGAACGAGGTTGAGGTTTTGATGAAAGAAGTGATTCGATTGTCGAACAGATTGAATGGGAAACCGGAGAAAGAATCGCAGGATCTGAGGAAGAATCAGTTCCCAACTCCGTTCTCGTTCTTCGTCGGAAGCACTTTCGAAGGAGCTCCAATGGAACAGCAAGCATTGCTGGAACTTGAAGATACGGCGGCTAGGTTAAAGAGAGAGAGGGAGACACTGAGGAATACACTCAATTACTTGACCGCAGCTTCTGCAGTGAAAGATGTCTTCCCATCGCCATAGTTATATGATTCGGTAACAAGAAATTTCTGGTCTCTCTTTATCGTTTTTCAGTTGTTGGATACATTATATATGATCATTGTGTAAAGTTTCAGAAACGTAGGTAATACTAGATGGTGGTGAATGTTTCATAGGATCGTATAGTTGGATTGATCAAGGAAAGGTTTTTACTTGATTTTTGTCTCTATGATCAAAGAATAGTCTAGTGATGCAAGTGAAGTTCTCATTCTTAATACCAAATCCTTGGCCTACAAAAAATGCTCTTTGAAGAGGTTTGCTTTATTAGAGTTTCAATGCCAAACCGTTGAATGCCTTTATGATCGTAGGATTGTATAGTGGGATTGATAATGGAAAGGTTTTTACTTGATTTTCCCTCTATGATCAAAGAATAGTCTAGTGATGCAAGTGACGTTCTTATTCTTAATATGAAATCCTTGCTTGTCGAGTTTGCATTTTCATTGAAAAGCCTGCAAAAAAAATGCTATCTGAAGAAGTTTGATTCATCATAGTTTCAATTCCCCAAAGCGTTTTTTGTACTGAAACTGTTACACCGATGATGTTACGGGGGAATTCTATAGATGATAAAGAGTGTTTGGTTGGTGACAGAAAGCTGAAATGTATATATCCATGGAGGTTTAGTGTTAGTTGCATTGCCTTTGTGAATCTAATTGACACAGATTAGATCATGCCTACTTAAGCTATGCCTCTATACAACTTTAGCTGCCTCGGTATCTAAATGATCAAAGAATGGTCTAATGATGCTAGTGACGTTCTTATTCTTGATACCAAATCCTTACTTCTCTAGTCTGCATTTTCATTGATAAGCCTGCAAAATATGCTATCAGAAGAAGTTTGCTTCATCAGAGTTTCAATTCCCCATAGTGTTTTAGTATTGAAACTGTTATAGATCGGTGAATTGGGGGAATTCTAAATGCATGCCGAAAACTTTTACAAACGATAAGTGTTTGGATGGTGATAGAAAGCTAAAATGTATAATCCATGGAAGTTAGTGTTAGTTGCTTTGCCTTTGTGAATCTAATTGGCGTAGGTTAGATAATGTGTACTTAAGCTATGCCTCTATACAACTTTGGCTGCCCTTGGTTTCTTTGTCAAGCCATAAGCTTATAGGCTAGGGAGGAGAGTGGAGTTAATTTACTTGAGAGAGATTGGGTTGTATTGATTTGAATTATGGGTCCAGTGTGGTTGAGAGCTTTTATGTCTATAGGCCATATAGTTTCTGATCATTCAATGTTTGAAAAGAAATGAATGTTAGGTTCCAATTGGTGTAGCGTCTTAGAAGCAGCGTGGGAGCGTTTTTATGGTCTAATTGCGTTCAAATGTGACTTGGTATCAATTCGTAGACTCTGGATACTAAAGTTTAATGTGTCAAAGGAGCACCAAAGGAATTGCATTTCTCAATTAATCACTCTTATTATATCCAAATTCCAGAGTTTCATTGGCCTTAGAATGGGTAGTGTTTTTCTTTTTCATTGGAGAACATTTAATCTTTTTCATTGGAGAGCTGCCAAAATGGGCACCGTGTTTGTCTAAAATTTCCAAAACGTAGCAAGTTGGGAACCCCTAATCTTTGTTTGTCCATGTCAAAAAAGAAACAAACAAGTCAAC